ATGGCAAGTGCTGGGCATGAGAGGAAGGTTGGCAATGCAGGCGAGAGAAAGGGGGAAATGGGTCGAGGCTGGCAGATTTTTCAGCCTCTGAACATCTCCAATTCACACCATGTGGTTAACCTAGAGATTTAATCCCCTCTCCCCTCCCCAATTCAACCACAGCCCCTCTCCTTGGTGTGGACACCAGGAGGAGGGTGGGTGATGGGCCACTGCTTGCATGGTCGGCCCCAGGCAAGGGACTGCTGGCTCCGCCCCGTGGGATGACACCCCCTCCTTGGGCTGAGTCGGATGCTCATGGAGGAATTTGTGTGGTTTAGTTACCAGACCTCCTCTGTGATTCCGTCAATGTCTAGGGGTCCTCGATCAATGTTTGCTGAACAGGGAATGGATGGGTGGGTCCCAAGGACAGGGTTACCGTGGAGCTCACGAGCATTTATCTTGAATCTGGAAAATGCAAGAAAAATTGGCCCATCTGTTTCTGCATTATATCAGGACAGCAAAAAGCCACAGAACTTAACTGTAGCCAACTCAATCATGTGTGACAACCCAGCAGCAATGCAGGAATGCAAAACCACTCTATGTGTGTGTGTGTATGTATCTGCAAGAACTGGATAGGATTGCATATAAAACCACATATGTGTAAGGGTGTGCGTGCCTGTGTTTGTGTAATTGTGTGTGCAACTAAGTGTGTATTTTCAGCAGTGTGTGTGTATGTGCATGTGCGTGTGTAGGTTACATGTGAGTCCCTGTGTACGTGTACTGCAGTACGGGCTCAGATGTGCAGGTTGCCGTCTGGTTGTGGCCATACATTATGCCCCCCTGAAAAATGTCTTCTTCTACCAACCTCATGGTATCCAAATAAATCTAAGAATTACTCTACCTCACTCTTTCAGACTCACCTGAGTTGAGCCAGTATGGATTGGTTAAAAATTCCAAATTATCAAATATTTTAAAACATAGTCAACTATTGCTGTACAGAATAGCTAGTCACTGAAGCAGGCTTCCCTCTGCTCAGTACATTGCTTCATCCACTGGCACCTTCCAATACAACCTCCTGCATTGATGGAACTTTTCTGTTACTATATCTGCACCATCTTGTGGGGACACAACGCTGTCCTTGTGTTGAGTGCTTGACATGTGGCTTATGTGAAGGAGGAACTGAATTGTTAATTTTATTTAACTTTAATTAATTAAAATCTACATTTAAATAGCCACACATGGCTAGTGGCTACAGTAGGGGACAAGGCAGACTGAGACTGGGTGTGGCATGACTTTCTTTCTCGGCTGCATCCCCCAGAGCCTCGCTTAGTGTCCGACCCGCAGGCTGCTGGGTAAAGATCGCTGGCTGAAGCCGTGCAGCCAGGGCAGGTCTTCAGAGACTCGCGCTGATGAGTAGAATCCTGGGGTTGCTGTAATAAATTGGAAAATAAATGTCCTTTGTAGATAAATGAGTGCTTCGTAAGGGTCAGATAAAAATCTTCCCTAAAGAGTTACACAATGTCTTCATGGTGGAATTTATCCTGAGAGTTTATTAAGACTTGGCCATTTTTTTCCTTCTCCTCCTCCTCTCTCCTCTAGCATAAGCAAAGCTCAAACTCACATTTGCACAAGGTACTCATTTCTTCCCAATGGAGGTTCAATTGCGATGAAGCTGCGGCCACCACGATGCTCCGTGGTACCCTGTGTGCTCACAGCCCGGGCTGTTCAAAGAACCTTTCATCTCCAAAGGCACATCCTGGAAACTACAGGATCTTTGAATTAGAAGGAGACTCAGAAGCCACTTGATATACCCGTATCTGCCACGGTTCTCAAACTCAACTCCCCAGGGGGTCATAATGGGCTACGAGAGGTGTCCTACTTTCTATTGATTTGGTGGCCTTGCCACTCTGCCAAATGAGATGGAGTGTGCATTGACCAGGACTCCTCCTTCTGTTTCCTTATTGTCTGCTGTTTCTCTGCAGGTCCATCCACCCTCCTCCACTGGGCTGGCGCTGCTTAACCTTAGTGCGTGACCCTGTGTGAGTCACCTGTTGTGAAGGCTCTGTGCCTGGGTGACTTCACCGAAATGGAGATGGTGACAGTACTCACAGTACCCATCTCACGGGGTTGTGGGGAAATGAATTAATTCCTCTAAAGTTAGACTTTGAAAAGTCTCTAACATTTAGTAAGCTCTAAATAGAGGTCAATTGTTAATATTAATATTAATTTTTAAGCATTATTTCATCCTGTTAGCATCTAAGGGTTGGGCAGTGAGTTGAGATGAAATTTTAAAAAAAGATATTATCTTTTCTTTTTTGCACTTTAAATAAGAAATTATGAAGTCAATATTCATGGCACTTTATAAATATCTTAAACCACCATACCTATGAGTAAGTCTATAAACCAATAATGTTTATATTATTTAAAATAATGAACTACTTTATTTAATGGAAACTCAAAATGTAAATCAGATATAAATATAGCTTCTGGGTGAAGAGAAAGTGGAGGTTTAAGCTCACCCTTGCCCAAGCTGCCCTTCCAGGGCTTCCTTGAAAGCCCTGGGGCTCTGGAGCATCTTTTAAAATGAAGCAAATTAGGCTTGAGAAAATGTCATTCATAGCCCCAATCCCTCTTCACACTGGGATAGGGTGACATGTACCATTTCATTACTTAGTTACTTTAAATGTGCTAATCGACGATATTGGCTGAGTCCATTTTTATTCATTTCCTTTTTCCCAATCTCTCCATTGTCCTGGGTTAATTTGCACCCCAAATCTCCTTAATATCTTCAAATAAATCGACTATTAACTTCTGATGTCCAAAGTTGTTCATACATGAGGAGTTTATGAATAGACACTCACTAGAGATGCTGTTGCCTATAGGGTTCCAATGGTTCATGTCTTTCTTGCCCCCCTTTTCTCTCTAATAATCTTGAATTTTTGAATGCCAAGGACAATCTTGAGGTGTTTCTTTCCTTTCTACAGCCCACTGTAAGGCCAGGCACATAGTAGACACTCCATAAATATTTTCTGAGTGAGTGATTTTCCTAGGAAAAAGCAAGAGATTTGGAGTCAGGAGACCTGGGTTTGAATCTTGGTTCGACTCTGTGACTCTGGGCAAATCCACTTAACCTCTCTGAGCCTATTTTCTCATCTGTAAAGTAGGAACGTATATCTTACAACACTGATGTGAGGAGGGAGGCAAGATATGAACTTCTTTGTAACCTGTAAAGGGCTAAACATGAGAGGATTGTTGTTATATCTAGAAGAGATGACAGAGTCTGTTTTCTGCTGCTGTAATAGAATACCGCAGATGGGGCAATTTACAAAGAATAACTTATTTGGCTCACTGTTCTGGAGGCTGGGAAGTCCAAGAGCATGGTGCCAGAATCTGGTGAGGGTCATCTCATGGCAGAAGGTGAGATAGTAAGAGCAGGTGAGCTGGAGAGAAAAACAATCTGGCTGAACTCATTTTTTTTTTTATCAGGAACCTACTCCCAAGACAAGTAGTTAATGGCATTAATCCTTTCATGAGGGTGGAGCCCTCTGGCCTAATCTCCTCTTAGAGGCCCACCTCTTAATACTGTTAAGATGACAACTAAGATTCCAACACATGAACTTTTGAGGGACACATTCAAATCATAGCAAGGGGCAACGCTGGCCTGGTGAGGCTTCTGGGCTCCCTTCTGGGGCTGAACAACAGGGATGGATTCATTTGCAGAAAACGTTTGCTAATTATTGTCAGTTTGAATAATTATCCAGGGATCCTGGAAACAGCCCTTCCCACGGATCAAACTGTCACATCTGCAGCCGACCTTTAAGTAATCTGAGTGGGGGTAATTACAAAGGGCTGGTTTTCTCTAAATATAGCTGTTCCCCAGCTAAAGGTCAACTCAAGGGAGCACAGTTTGATAATTGCAAGCAGTTTGATAGTGAATTGGGCAAACATTCCCAGGGGTGCAGTCAGCAGTTTCCTCTTACAAAGATCAGGGTGTGGATGCCCTGATGGGGAAGATCTGGCTTTCTGACCCTGCTGAAGGATGTCAGAGTTCCCACTTTATCAAAGTTCCAGTCACAAAGTGGCATTGTTTGTGGGAAGATAACTGTAGTGAAAACTTTTATAGGGGGAGGGGTTAGACCCCCTGCCTCTGGGCTTCCAGAGCCCTATGGATCCTGGTGCTCTGGTCTACTGTTCGTTCCCTAGCTGCATGCCCCATCTCCCCAGTGGACATGTTTGCTCCTCCATGGCTGAGACCTCTAAATTAGACACCGTGAGGTATAAGGGCAGAGAAGGCTTGGTGTGAATCCTGACCCCACCAGGATTCCTTATGGGGGATCTTGGACAAGTCACTTTCTTCAAGGAGCTCCAGTTTCCTCATCTACAAAATGGGGCTTATGATTACTGCCCTACCTGCCAGGACTGGTCACAGGGAAATCCAATAAGGAAATATGTGGGAAAACACTTTGCAGCTGTCTGACCTTAAGCTCCTCTGAGGTGGGCTGTGTACTTCTCTTCCAAATATTTTTTCTCCTTACCTTCTCTTTCTCTGCATGGTGCTTAAATCAAAAAAATTTTGAGGGAAGTAAATTAAAATAAAAGAGGAAGCATGGGAGGATTAAACTGAAGGAGAGTAATTGCTCTACAGAATGTGAAGCTTCATGGCTATACTATGGAAGTCAAAGGCCCCATCCTAAGTTTCCCTTTTCTTCACTAGACCCATGCTCTGTTCCCACCCCTCTTCTACCCCATTTCCAGGCTCTCTCTTGTCTGTATCTTAAATCCAGAAAAAATTTCCCTATGCCTGGAGTTTCTAAACTCCATCACTTACAGTACCTAGAAAAGTATTTCCTCCTCCTTTTGGTTAAGCAGTGACAATGTTGAATAGAGCTGGGCTGCAATATCCCCTTTGCCAGCAGGTGTCACCATTGAGCACACAATGTGCTCATTCATTCAATGCCTAGCCCTAGATACTGAGACTGCTGTGTGCTAGACCCTCATCTTGGCATAGATATAACAGTGAACAAGCAAACAGCATCCCTGCCATCATGAGGAAGGACAATGACTAAACAAACACTGACATACAATGCAACGTCAGATAACGGTGACTGTTATAGAGAAAGGGCAGGCTAAGAGGCTAGAGACTGAACGGAGGGGGAGGCCCCTAGGGTGGTCGAGGGAGGCCTGTCTCTGAAGGTGATATAAAAATGTCTTAGGGCCACGGGTGGTTGTTTCCACATATTCACATGTGTAAGGCATATTACTGTAAAAATTGTTTTCTATTATTAAATTGAATTTTTGACTCTGAACTCTCATTTCACAGAGCTTCAGGGGTGGAAATCAACCTCAGTCTTCCTTTGCAGGGAACAGTTGCTGTTCTAGGCTATTAGGCAGAAGGAGGGAGGTGGAGGAATAGCCTCTTGCCCTGGTCATGGGTCCCCACAGCACTTTCTTCTATGGCTTCCTATGTGGCCTAGTGGCTTTCTGCTGCCTCTGGGTCATGCTGGAGGTGGGAACGAATTGTGGGCTGTTCACATCTGCCTGGTGACCCCCCCCCAACAAGTCTGCTCTGCCCCCTTCCGTCCTTCTCTCCTCCCTGCTCCCTCCCAGCTGGGGGGATTTCTGTCTGGTCCTCTGAGGAGCGAAGGGAGAGTGAAGCTCAGCTGTCCCCCTGCTTCTGGCCAAGACACCTGTCAAGGTCTGAGAAATCCCCTTCCCCAAAGGGCTCAGCCTTTTGGAAGACCGAGAGATTTGCAGGCCACTTCTGGGTTTCAGCCTGCTGCCTCTCTCCCCTGAGGCGAGGAGCAGAGTGCCACCACCTCCCTGGGGTGGGGCGTGAGCAGGGAAAATACCAGAAGGGGACAAACGGAGGTTGGATAGGTTCGTATCTCTAAATGCCATCTCAGCCACACCTGTTAAGTAAATCTGAGCCTTCATCACTTCTCTAAGTTCGACATGACGTGTGTCAGGTGCACGTGAAGCAAGGGTCATCGACATCTGTGCGTTTGTGTCTGCACACGTGTTCAAGCCCACGCCCGCTTCCCCCGGGGTAAGTGTGGTTTCTTCTGGTTAAAGTGTGGGAAAAATTAAGTCATATTAATAGTTTTCTTTCCTCCCTAAGTGAACAGTGATGCCAGCAGGCAAAAGGCAACAAAAAGCATTTCCTCAGCTTTCGGGTGACTTGGAAGCTCTCGTCTAAAAATACGGACGAGCAGGAGTGTGAAGGAGTGTGTGGGAGGCTTGTCCCCACGGTTTTCCGCAGTGGGGACCACGGGGGCCATGGCGGGAAACGCGCCAGAGTGTCTCTGCTGAGAGCCTCTTTTAAAATAAGCTCCCCTCCCAGCCCGAGGTTTACAGCAAACTTCTCGGCGGACGTGGGCAATTTTTCCCGAGCCCTTGAAACGGGAGACAAAGGAAGCTGAGTGACAGGGCATCAGTGGAGAAAGGGCTCGCCGGGCAGGCCGGACCAATTAGCCGCCTTCCGCCCCTGGGCTCTCCGCGGTGGTCTTGGAGAGCGTGGTGGGGAGGCGAGGGGAGCCGTGGGGCCCGGCATGCCTGACACCCAATTAGTGCTCATTCGCCAACTGACCGCCGGCCGCTCCCTCCCAGCTGCTCAGCTGCTGCGCAGGCGGCGCCTCTGAGAACAGAGGGTGCTAATTGGATGCTGAAACCCAGATGCTTCTCTGCTCACCCAGCCCGGCCTTGTGAAGGCCTCGGCTTTCTTGGCCTAGCTCCTGTCCCTGGTTCTGTCACCAACTTGTCCTCCCTGGGAAAATACCATTCCTCTCAAGTAGAAATGGCCCAGCTGGCCCAGCTGCCTCTGCCAGGATTCTTGAAGAGCCCAAGTCAGGGTGGGGGCAGGGGCAGTGGGGGACGGGGTGATGCGAGGTCGTGTGGATCCTCAGGTGACCAGGGTGCTGGAGAAGGCAACGAAGTGGAGGCAGGGAGCCCTGCCACTGACTCACTATGCTGCTTTCCTTTCTCGAGCCTCAGTTTCCCCATCTGCAGATTGGGGATCTGATGAGATGCCCTGCATGCACCCTTCCAGGCTGGCATGGAGCATCTCTGAGCCCTACCCTGGGATGTCTGGCAACTCCTGCAGGGGCTGGGCTGTGTGCATCGTGGGCGCCTGAGCCAGGAAACCTTATTGTTTTCATGTTTCCAGAGGCTTCCTCCCATCCCGGCTGTGTCAGTGGTTCCAGGGAGGCCCCAAGGTCACATCACAGTGGGTTCCACATGTGCTCTCTGGAAGGACCCACAGCCCCAGCCCCCTTTCCCAAGGCAGCTCCAGATGTGCATGGACGTTAAGAGCCTCGGTGCCCAGCTAGCTCAGTGTGCCACTAATCCTGCTGCAGACATTCCTCACGGGTGTCACAGTGAGAACTCAAATGTTATTGTGTCGTTGCTCTGATTTTTTACTCCCTCCCTGTATTAGAACGACACATCCACGCCTCTCATCCTGTGACTTTGCAGTTCCTGCAACCGAAATGGGTGGTGCATATTTCTCTGCCCCATGGATGGTGAACTGGGTCTGATGACCTTCGTTGGCCAGTGGAACGCGGGTGGCATGGCGGTGTACCAGTTTGTGCTACAACCCTAGGATGCAGCCCTGTTTCTCCTCTGCCTTCAGGTGCCCCTGTGATATGCTCTGGCCAGAGCGTGCTCCCGGCAGCCACTGTACCTTTAGCCTGGGCCCCAGAGTGGGACGTGTGGAAGAGACCTGGATCCAGCCTGGTCCACTTGAACTCATTCTAGATCAGCAGAACCGAGGTTGATCTGTCGACCTATAAATTTAGAAATAAACGTGTGTTGTGATAAGCCACTGAGATTTGGGGTTATTTGTTATGAGACAAAAATGTGACTAATACATCAACAAAGATGAGAAACTTCCAGGAAAGGGATGCTGAGGAGCAGCTCATGGGTGTCCTGGAGCTGGGCACAGTAGAGAAAGCTTTACGCTCTTCTGGCCAGGGCCAGCCCGTGGGCAGGATGCCCCATCCCAAGCTCCAGAAGGACACTCAACCCATGATTGGGACTGGGGAGAGGCATCTGAACTACATTTTCCGAACCACCCCCAGGTGAGGCCTGAACTGAGTGGACACTGCGGCTACCCAGGAAATATGTTATGAACAAACCTGGTAAGAAGTGAAAAGGGCAGAAATGAAAATCCCCAGGCCACCAAGGGCATCTGGGATGATTCTGGAATAGTTGACATCCGTGTTGGTTTGGAAGCCTGGGCAGCAACTCTGCACGCTGCTGAGATTCAGGAATGACTCTGAAACGGAGAAAGTGATTCCTAATCAGTTTAACCAAACGACAGATGACTCTTCCCCTGGAGTCTGCAGCACAGAGAGAATTGCTGTAATTGCAGGCAGTTGGCAGAGAAATCAGGCGCCTGCCTCTAGTCCCTTAGGCTGCATTCCCCGGGGACCCTCAGTTTAGAGACCCTCCCACTGAGCCTGGCTCCCTGAGCTGACCCCCGTGTGGATGCCGACCACAGCTTGTTTGGATATGGCTTGGATTTTGGTTAGGGATTTTCTAATCGCAGCCTGATTTGTCATTTAAAATATTATGCACAGAAATTAGGATGCACGTGGAATTTTGATTCCAGTCATTCTTTGTGCTTGGAGAGACAAGGCTTCTCTTCCGGGGAAGTCTTCAGAATATGCCATACAAGGGCATCTCTGCAACTTTCCAGGAGTTTCTGTTACTCAGGGAGTCGTGGCAACTGGGCCTAAATGTCAGCAGTCTGGGTTCTGGTCCTGGCTCTGCCACCAAGGTTGGTGGGACTTAGGAAGAGTCTGATCACTGGGCTGAGTATCAGTTTCATTCTCTAGGAAATTGGGAAGATAAAAACTAGCCTCAAAGAAATGTTGTGAGGACCAAATGAGATAATACAGGTAAAGGCTTACCACCATGTCTGGCACATAATACATAGTAGCGATTGCTAATATTATTTTAAATAATTACAAAATACTTAGCATATAGTATTTCATCAGTTGTTGCTATTATAATTATTATTACACGGATCTGATCATATGTGAAATCCTTTGTTAATCCTTATGGCTTCAGAACTAGTTTTCAAACTGTAATGCTTGGTGCCCTAGGAGTTCTGAGGGTAAGCATCTATGTGCTTGATGTCCAGGACACTGAGGCTCTGAGAGGTAAACAACTGTCCAAGATCACGCAGGTATGAAGTTACAGAGCCAGGAGTCCAGCCCAGCTCCCTCTACATTTCTTTCCAATGTTACCCCATGATCCAGGTACGCTAGACTTCTCTCTCTTGCTACAAGTCCTCTGGCACCTTCATATTTATGCTGCTTTGCACAAAATCTCTCTGCCTGCCACTTTTCTGCTTGTCCAAAGTATGTTCTGGTCTGGGAAACCTCCCTGGGCCCTCCAAGCAGCTATTGCTGTGGTGCCGGACGTTTCTGTTGGATCCAGGGTTGTGCAGGTCTATCTTTGTATTGGGCTGTGGCCTCCAAGGCCCTGGGCCTGGCCTAACTCCCCCCTGTGAGCCCAGCCTCATCACTGACTACATGTGGTGATAAATGAGCCAAACTGAAGCTGATCCCAGGCTGATCATACATGTTAGAATAGGACATGTGAGCCCAGCTTACCTATGCACTGAGCTCATGCCTATGAAGGGAGTGTTGGTGGGGCAGCCAGAGTCCTGCAGGAACCCAAGCGTGGGCCAGGCACCCTGGTCACATCTGCATGTATTAGCTCTGCATCAGGCCCTGAAATAGGATTGCCAGATAAAATACACGATGCCCCTTTAAATTTGGATTTCAGATCAACAACATTTTTTTTTAGTATAAGTATGTCCCATGAGATATTTGGAACATACTGATACTAAAAATTACTCATTTTTTTTTATCTGAAATTCAAATTGAACTAGGTATCCTGTATTTTTATTTGCTAACTCTGCCAACCCTACAGCACAGGCACATCTATGGCACTGTCCTGGGACAGGTGTTGCGGGCATGTCCGCAGACGTGGTGCCCGAGGCAGCTTCCCCGGGTGGGTCTATACCCGCTAGCTCTGGGCATATATCCACAGAGACAAACTAATTTTCCAATATTGTATTTCATAGATTCTAAGGTATACAATTCTTCTCATTTTAGCATCTCTGCAGTTGGGATTCATCTTATCATCTTACAATTGCTGCTGTTCGGACAGTGGCATCTCTGCAACTTTCCAGGAGTTTCTGTTACTCAGGGTATGCTGGGAGCCTGGCCAGGCACCTGCAGCCAGCCCCTCGGTGGTCAGTCAACAGAATATCCGATGACCATGTGGGGAAAGGAATAAGTCTTGTTTATTGTCTGAAACCTTTTACTGACACATTCTGGGAAGATCAGGAAAGAGCCAGCAAAGAGAGAATAATTGGAATATTCTTAGCATAAAGAAAAGATAAATATTTAAGGTGATGGATACTCCAATTACCCTGATTTGATCTTTACACATTTTATGAATGTATCGAATTATTACAGTATCCCAAGAATATGTACATCTATTATGTGCCAATTTAAAAAAGAGCCAACATCACTAATGCAAAACAGGTATCAACAGCTTGGAAGAAAATCCCAGAGACCCCAGTGGAGGCCTCTTTGAAGGAACACAGCATCATCCACACTCTCGAAGTCTCAGAGGATGATTCTACACGGGAAAACATGGACATTGATGACTCTGAGTTGAGAAGTGATTCAGAAGATTAGACCCTGAATAGGAAGGTTAGGAATACTGTAGCCAATTCATTGCACTTGTAATATTCCATGATATACAATATTCTATGATATATGATAATGATTCAATAAGTATTAAAGAATACTTTAATAAATATAAATTTAAAAAACCCAAGTGATGAGAAAGCATTGGGTCACAGCATTTTCTTTGTTTTTAGTAGTATATAAAACATTGATTCCCCTTACAATCAATCAATGGCATCTTAGATTTGATGAAATACAGGTAGCTGAATTCAGTTAAACCAGCAGCCAGTGGGCCTAGATGAATCGATTTAAGTCTGAAGGAGCCCAGAGGTCAGGGAGGGATTGGACCTTTCCCCGGCGATGGGCCCTGCAGTTATGGGTCCTGATAGATGGTCATTCTTCAGGAAGATCATGTTCTTGGTGTGAACATTGCACAGAGAGGGGGCTATTGACATTTTAGGAGGGGCGGGTCTTTGTTGTGTGGGAGGTTCCATGCATTAACAGGATGCATCTTTGGCATCCTGTTAATGCATGGAAGTGGCAGTATTCCTACCAAGTTCTGTGATGCCTCCTAGTCATCATGACAATGGACCAAGTTCCCCGAAGCCCCCATATGTTGCAGATGCTCCCTTGGGGGCAGTAGCGCTGGGGTTGAGACCGCTGGGCTCTAGGATGCAACCCCGCCTCCTGTCTGTGAACAGCGCTGACGTCTCCCCATCCATAGCTTCGGGTCCTCGTCTTCCAAGAAGTCCAGGCATTGCCAGGATGATTCAAGTCCGAGGTGCGTGCCCAGCCCTGGTTTGGAGGGGTTGGGGGCACAGTCCTGGGCATTTCTGCCTCCCCTATCAGGCCCCAGCCAACCTCCCTCTGCCCTGTGTCCTCTTTCCAGGACGATTTTCTCTGCAGCCTCGGGGAGAGAGGCACGTCGCCTCCTTTTCATTTACATGGGGATTACTGGAGACCAGAAAAGTGCTTTGAAATGATATAATGTCTCTGCACCTCATCAAACCCTTCCCCTTCACCAATTTCTGCCTGATTTACAGTTAATATTGCACACTCCCATCACCCTGCCGGAGAAGCGGTGATTATTTCTCCATTGCCATAAAGAATGTAAAGGAGATGGGAAAAATCAGGTGAATTCAGAGAAAGTTTAGTGTAAAAAAAAAAAAAAGTGCTGGGGGAGGGGGTGTCAGGGAAGGCGGTATAATACGGCAGCAAAAGTATTCCTGGAACCAATTTCAGAGTCAGGCGATTCCTCCCGGCCTTGCAGTGGAGCCTGGGGCGCGGGCTGCTGCGTGCTGCCAGGTGCACGGGCCGGGTCCGGTGGGCTCTGATGGGGAGCCCTGCCTGGGTGCTCACCTGCCCGCCGGTCTGGTCTGGACACACAGACCCCACCAAAGAGCCAGCCCACCCTGAGAAGGAGTGAGAGCCCCTGCCTGTCCTATCCCATACCTCACTCCCCCCAAAATGTCTGGGGAGCATTTAGGCTTTAGAGCCTTTGAGACTCAGAGGTGGCGGTGCATTCAGAGTTCCTGGATAGAGACTTGTTTATTCTGCTCGATTTAATTGGATACTAACAGCTCTAATGTGGGTCTGGGCTCAAATTCTGCCCCTGACAAGGACCGGCTTGAGACCTTGGGCAATCGTGTCACATCTCTGTACCTCAGTCTTCTCATCTATAAAATGGGATAGACTGGCACACGGTCAGTGCGAATATAAAATGTAGCTCTGATTCTCCTTACCCACCGTTAATCAGTCGCTGGTCAGCAGCACTGTCATGGCCACCCCCCAGCAGGTGTGTGTAGGGCTACCTTCCTTCCAGCTTGCCATTGGCGGAACTTTGCTGATTTTACGATCAAGGAGCTGAGTGTCATTTGTGATTCTTCACAGGAGAGAGACGCTCTGAGTCTCCCACGTCATCCATCAGCCAAAGGAAATGACGGAATCCCTTAGATTTAATTACTGTTACTGTAGTAAACCAGTATCTCAGTGATCTATTGCCACGTCACAAACTGCCCCAAAATGTACTGACTTAAAACACGACCATTTTGTTATTGTTCATGACTC